TATCGTAATATACCCAGGACTCGGATGTAGTTTATCGTCTTACCCAGGACGCGGATGCAGTTTATCGTCATACCCAGGATGCGGATGTAGTTTATTGTCTTATCCAGGACGCAGACGTAGTTTATCGTCTTACCCAGGACGCTTTACCTTTTGTATTTTGTCACTCCAAGTCAGGCGATTATTCTGTTCGAACATAGGGTTTTATTGGGAGTAGAATAAGAAGACTTTCGTGAGGACAATTGATGAAAGGACAAAAAAGGAACAGGGTTCAAGAATACAGACAATGGTGGTAGACGATGCATTTAAACATTTAAAGAAGGAAGCAAGAAATCGCAAGAGAGTTACACAGGTGAGAAGTGCGAGGAAATAAATTGAGTAGAAGTCTACCTAGTTCAACAGTAAAACGGAGAGAATTAGATGCCAATCTGGTAGCACGTTTAATTCATGCAGTTAGGGCACCGGTCGAAAAAGCCTATTAGAACAGTTGCCATGAAAATATTTGTAGAAAACACAGAGGGAAGCCATGTTATCACTTGTTTCGTTCAGTACATAATGGAAATTAGCTTCAATTCTCTGTAAATTTAATAAAAAATAGACCCACAAGGATGTCAAGGTCTGGGAGAATGTAATCACGAAGCTGCCTCAAAGATGGCGACAGTTTGCGGAAGAAAATAGCAGATCTGTGGTTGAATAAATCTATGGCTTCTTTCTTTTATGTGCCCTGTCCCTTCAGGGCATTGACGATTACGGCTCTCCACAATTTCCTGTCCTTTGTAGCGCTTCATAAATTTGGTCTTTTTGTTATATCTTCTAAACCCTATTCCGCCATTCCTGTACTCAGCCTAGTTCTCCATCATTTATGTGCCGTCCCTTCAGGACGTTGATGATCATGGCCCTCCACAATTTCCTGTCCTTTGTACCGCTTCATAAATTTGGTCTTTTTGTTATCTCTCCCAAACCCTGTCCCGTTTTCCACCCACTCAAGCTCACTAAGCAGGTTATGCGCTTCTTTTTTCTCTCCCCATGGCCTTCAGTCTGTCCTGCGAATATCTGACTCCCTAAGCCTTCCTTGCACATTATGTACCCTAGATATTTCAAATGTCTCTTCCTGATATCTCTATCTATAAAAGACAGGATGTGTGTGTGTGTGTAACGAATGCACGGCCGCAATTTTCGACGGATTTGCACCAAAATTTACATGCACATCCTCCAAGTGAGCGGGAAGGCCAAGACTGACTTTGCATTTCCCAACTCCCATCGATAGTGGAAATAATCGATTTTTCATGCTTCTACGGCACTTTTGATGTAGTTTGCGGCCATTTTCTACTGGCCAGAGTGAAAGCCTATAGCTGGCTGCCACGAATAGGAAGGACAATTCTATTGGCCAGCGTGAGAGCCAACAGCTTATTGACACGAATGTCAACTAGCATGCTAGCATGCAAAAAAAAAAAAAATCGATAGCTGCATTCGTCACAAGTGGGAAAAATTTAAATCTGCAGGGCACTTTACTCCAATTGGCTCATTCGCTTGCTTAAACTCAACGTTGATTCTGATTCCGCAGAACTGGGTTGCGTGTGAAAAAGTATTTGTTGTTAACATTCTTTTTTCATTCATTTTTTCCAGTTACGAGTCCTTTTTTAAAGCTGATCGTTTTGTGTTTATTTTGTTTAGTTCTTTTTTCGAAACAGATTTAATGTTTTGTATAGAGTTTAGAAAAAATTCACAATGTGAGATAGGCAAGAAGTAAGGCATGTAGCAGCATCAGCACGACAAAGGGCACTCCTTTAAAGGCAAGGAAGAGCAAAAATATTTTAAGTCAAGTAATAGCGATTGGTGTATGAGTCGTACGATTTTTGAATCAAGCACGGGCAACGCCGGGCCACGCTGCTAGTTAAGTATAAGTTTCCTTTCTTTTTCTGTTTTCTCTAAAAATTCATTTTTGTTTATATGTTCGTCTCATGGTATGCTCAGTATGCTTATGTGCAAACACATAGGGAAGCCATGTTATCACTTGTTTCAATCCCCCAGTTATGTGCCATGCATAATACATGCTAAGGCGATCATGCATCTTTCGATACATGACTGACGAGGCAGATTTTTTTCCCACAATACGTTGCCATTTCTTTCTACAGTAAACCAGTTACCATCCAAACTATAGAACACCTGTCCTGTTATTTATCCATAGCTGGGGGGAGAAGAAGAGGATTCATACCTTTTTCCAAGCGTATTAGCACATAAGTGAATTTCAGGCAGGTATGTGCCATATGTAATACACGCTTATGTGATCATGTATCTTTCGATACATGACTGAGGAGGCAGATTTTTTTTTCCTGCAGCAAGTTGTCATTTCTTTCTGCGGTGGACCAGTTGCCATCCAAGGTTATAGAACCCAGTCTGTCCTGCTATTTACCCAGAGCTGGGTGTGGGGGGGGGGGAGAAGAGGATACATACCTTTCCCAAGGGTATTAGAATGTAAGTGAATGTAATGGATCCGAATGCAATTTGAACTCGGCTCTCCGATTCCTCAATCCGAGCTGCTATCCATTACTCCACCGTCCCTCCCTACAAAATGGAAATAGCTTCAATTCTCTATAATTTAAAAACAAACAAACAAAAAAAACAAAAAAAAAAAAAAACAATACATAGACCAATTCATCACTGACAAGGATGTCAAGTTCTGGGAGGATGGGATCATGAAGCTGCCTCAAAAGTGGCGATAGTTTGTGGAACAAAATAGCAGATATGTGGTTGAATAACACTATGTACAAATAGCTAAATATTGTCTTTGCAATTCACTTAAAAGTACTACTAATTGGTTCCGACTCAATAAAATTCTGACATCTTTGTCTGCATTCTAAAGTCATATCATATTGAATCATTTAACCTATGATATGTCACAATTATTTCCTATGTATTTCAGGGCATCATCAGAGATGGGGACAAAATGACACCTTTGTTCGCAACGCTCCACTCCCGTTTAAATATTAGCTGGACAGAGTGACATAATAGTTAATAAAGGATGAATTAATATGATGTCTTTATTGCCAGATGTTGTTTATTGACACTGACTGTGACCGTCTTATTCGACTACTAAGTGAATTGGCAATTAATATTCCATGAATTCAGTTTAAGTAAAAACATTGCAAATGATTATATAATACATTACACAGCTTATATTTCCCATTCAGAATTTCTTACGGAAGATTTAACAAATTATATTGGAATTATTATTAACAGTAGTAATATTTATGAATCTTGTCTTTGTACAAAACAAGGCCATTATTATCTTGATTTTCTTTATTACATGAAGCATTGTCAGCCATTATTAATTTTTGACTTGGTATTTCTTTCATCTTAATTTCACTTACTTTTCATCTAGTAGTATTAGTAGTAATATTATCTTGAATTTCGATTAGATGAAGCATTGTGAGCCATTATTAATTTTTGACTAGTATTTCTTTCATCTTAATTTCACTTACTTTTCATCTAGTAGTATTAGTAGTAATATTATCTTGAATTTGGATTAGATGAAGCATTGTCAGCCATTATTAATTTTTGACTAGTATTTCTTTCATCTTAATTTCACTTACTTTTTATCTAGTAGTATTATTAGTAATATTATCTTGATTTGGGATTAGATGAAACATTGTCAGCCATTATTAATTTTTGACTAGTATTTCTTTCATCTTAATTTCACTTACTTTTCATTTAGTAGTATTAGTAGTAATATTATCTTGAATTTGGATTAGATGAAGCATTTTTAGCCATTATTAATTTTTGACTAGTATTTCTTTCATCTTAATTTCACTTGCTTTTCATCTAGTAGTATTAGTAGTAATATTATCATGAATTTGGATTAGATGAAGCATTGTCAGCCATTATTAATTTTTGACTAGTATTTCTTTCATCTTAATTTCACTTACTTTTTATCTAGTAGTATTAGTAGTAATATTATCTTGATTTGGGATTAGATGAAACATTGTCAGCCATTATTAATTTTTGACTAGTATTTCTTTCATCTTAATTTCACTTACTTTTTATCTAGTAGTATTATTAGTAATATTATCTTGATTTGGGATTAGATGAAACATTGTCAGCCATTATTAATTTTTGACTAGTATTTCTTTCATCTTAATTTCACTTACTTTTCATCTAGTAGTATTAGTAGTAATATTATCTTGAATTTGGATTAGATGAAGCATTGTCAGCCATTATTAATTTTTGACTAGTATTTCTTTCATCTTAATTTCACTTACTTTTTATCTAGTAGTATTATTAGTAATATTATCTTGATTTGGGATTAGATGAAACATTGTCAGCCATTATTAATTTTTGACTAGTATTTCTTTCATCTTAATTTCACTTGCTTTTTATCTAGTAGTATTAGTAGTAATATTATCATGAATTTGGATTAGATGAAGCATTGTCAGCCATTGTTAATCAATGACAATTATTATCTTTTCACTTAAATTTTAATTACTTGTAAGAAGAAATTCGAAGGCAAAAGGGATAGGTGGATTATAAATAATTTCAATATTGACACTTGATAGGAAAATCTGAACTTAAGTAGCTTATTTCAGTTGCTATGTCAGGAGGCAGACCGTAATATTTTTTTTTTTTTCAAAGCGCGACGGTGGTGTCCAGTGTTAATAGTAACATTTGCGATCATCACTTCTGCAATATTTGGTGGCCTTTTGTGAAATCATAGCACGCAACCAACAGCAGCAATAAAACACTCCGTAATGTTCATCAAGTGAGGTATATTGTTATTCTAACAGCGCTTTTATTGACCCCAGGGACCGACTCAAATTGACAAACGAGTGAGAAAAAGTTTTTGCTGAAGCGCGCACTCACGCGCGTGTGTGTGTCTGTGCGTATTTGAGAGGGAGAGTAATAGAGAGGTAGACGTGAGATCATTAAGAATGTAATATATCTACCTGAGGATGCACGTGTGTATCCAGCATACGTCATATATCTATGTGATATATATGAAAGATATATCAGCAAAGAGAGATAGGGGAGCAAATTTTATTTGATGTACACAAGAACATAAGAGAGTGAGTGAGAGAGAGTGAGGGAAAGAGAGAGCGAGAGAGAGAATGAGAGAGTGAGAGATAGCGAGAGAGAGAATGAGAGAGTGAGAGAGAGTGAGAGAGAAATGGATATGGAGAGTGAGAGAGATAGTGAGAGAGGGAGAGTGTAAGAAAGTGTGAGAGTGAGAGAGAGTGAGAGAGAAGGTGAGACAGAGTGAGAGACAGTGAGAGTGAGAGGGAGGGAGAGGGAGCGAGAGATAGTGAGAAAGGGAAAGGGAGAGTGTGAGAAAGGGTAAGAGAGAGAGAGAGAGAGAGAGAGAGTGAGAGTGAGAGTGAGAGAGAGATAAAGGGAGTGAGAAAGAAAGTAGAGAGATAGAAATAAGAGAGGGCTGTATGTGCGGTTAAGGGAGCGACAGTGGAAGAAAGAGAGGCCGTGGAACAGGCAGAAGTGTATGTATGTGTGTGGTCTTTATTTTGCGTCTGTATGTCACTGTGTGCATGTTTGTGTGTAGCTGTTATAGAGACCAAGAAGAATGAAGTAAGATAATGAGTGAGGATATGAAGAGTAGTTAAAGTAGATGGATATATACATAGGTATAAATATATTAAAATAGATGCATTGAGATCTACAGGGTGCGATGGATAAATTGTCGTCTAAAGGACGTAAAAATGAAAATAACGTTGACATCTCATTTTAACAGATATGCAGGGTGCGATGGATAAATTGTCGTCTAAATGTCGCCAAAAATGAAAATAACACTGACATCTCATTTTAACAGGTATACAGGGTGCGATGGATAAATTGTCGTCTAAATGCCGCCAAAAATGAAAATAACACTGGCATATTTTAACAGATATACAGGGTGCGATAGATAAATTGTCGTCTAAATGATGCAAAAATGAATAACACTGGCATCTCATTTTAAAAGATATATTTACCAAAATGACACAATAAATATCTTGAAATGCCAGAGTAAAATTATTCAGTAAAATTGTCATTGGCTTCAACTATGGCCTCCAGACGGTTAGGAATCTCCTGAAACACTTCCAGGCAGTCTCCTTGTTTGAGTTGGTGGATGCTGACATAATCCTTGCATTCAGTTCTTCTTTGGTGCTACAAGAAGTTTAACTGGTCTCTCGCTCAACTGCTCCCCACACATAATAATCAAGGGGGTTGCAGTCTGGGGAGTTAGGTGGACTGATGTATTGGATCGTGTAGTCGCAGAAATAGTCTGGCAGCCATGACTGGGTTCTCCTTCTTGTGTGGCATGGTGGAGGGTCCTAATGCCATTAATAGTCTTCCAGCAACCATCCTCTTGACACAGGGTAGCATTATTTCCTCAAGGAACTTGATGTAGGCCTCGGTGTTGAGCCCTGGGCCCTGTGGGAAAATGCATGGAGGCATAACCTGACCATCACCAGTGATCATTTTAAACACATTCGTAATCACCATTTGACTCATTCAACTCTGCAATATCCAAAGATTGACACCCAAACACTCTGTAAGGTTCATATTGGTGCTTTCGGTGCTAATGCCAAGCAGGACAGCATGCCGATTCCAAATTTCTAGCTGAATTGCGTCATGGTTTTGCGTTGACAAAATAAAAAACAAACAACGTACACCCAGTATATGAACAGACACACACACACACACACACACACACACACATATATATATATATATATATATATATATGTGTGTGTGTGTATAGATAGATAGATAGATAGATAGATAGATAGATAGATATGAATATTTTAAGATAGATTTGAACAGATTAGGACACACACACGCACACATACATATATATATATATAGGTAGACAGATGTGAACAGAGATAGATAGATATGAGCAGACAGAGATAGATAATAACGTATGAACAGATTGATATATATATATATATATATATATATATATATATATATATATATATTTCTGAGATAAGGGATTGTAATTATTTCCAATATTTACATTGTTTGAATTGTTGTCCTCATCATTATTGCCATATTCACAACGTTTCGGGCGTTTTACACACCGGCCTTCTTCATGTGATTGGAATTTCGAACTGAACCCTTCATTTCGTCCACTCAGATAGATCGTTCTAGTTCCACGTGCCATGCCTCTTCCGGATCTCTCAGTTATCTCCCTTTAACTCAGATCTCCAACGTTGGTTGGATCCAGTGACTTGACCCAAAGATTTGTGAGTTGGATCTTTTCTAATTGATCTTTTTAGCTCTAGGTTGAAATGATGATCCTTCTTCTTGTCGTGACCGCTTGATTTGGTTGTCATCTCTACTGTCCCCTGTTTTTTAAAATTATTCACCGTTCTCTTGATGGCTCTTGAATGGACTTTGAAGATGGAAGCCAGAGTATGAATGCTGGTATAATGAAGGCCTGAATGATCTTTTTCCTCTTACCATTGCTCAGTTAAGAAGACACAGTTGGGCTGGCACAAAACGATTTTAATCCGTTCTCTTTGCAGCTGAATAAATCAAAAGGGTTTTTCAGTGATTCTTACAACAAATGGTGTCAAGGGGGCTAAAGTTCTTGCCTGAAAACCTTTTTTTTTAGATATTAAATATCCGGGTTCTATAACCTTGGATTGCAACTGGTCTACCACAGACAGAAATGTCAACCTACTTCGGGGAAAAAAAATCTGCCTCGTCAGTCATGTATCAAAAATTAATGATCCCCTAAGCGTGTATCACGCATGGCACATAACAGACTGTGGGATGGATAATTATGCTTTTACAATTTTTCTGTTACACCATAAATATAACACCTTAAGACTATAATTCTTCATATATATATATATATATATATATATATATATATATATATATATATATTTGGTTGAATTGATGTGAGTTTGTGACCCTGGGTTTCACGTTTTGCGATCGTCAAACGGATATTCAGCGCTTTCTAATAAGTACCGTGCATATAATATATAAATAATAATATATATAATATATTACACTCATATATATATATATATATATATATATATATATATATATATATATATATATATATATATTATATACACAATTTTCACACACACACACACGCACACACACAGACATACACACACACACATATATATATAGAGAGAGAGAGATGCGAACAGACTGAGATAGATGAATAGGTAGATATGAACAGACATATATATATATATACATATATATATGAGATAGATAGATAGATAGATAAGAACAGTCTTTGATAGATAGATAGATAAATATTTATGAAAAGTCTATACTATAGATTTAACAATTTATCTATATGACTCCTGTTAATACGAAATTTCTTCCCTCCTACTTCTCGAGTGGTTGTTTATATATACGAGGGTGTGATGGTAAATTCCAGATCCAACCCACTTCACCAAGATCTGACCAGATGTCCAAACATCAAAATGTTTTTTTTAATCCTTTCATGACTGGGTTGAGAAATTTTCGACACCCCCATCGATATGCACGTCTCCCCATATATATATATATATATATATATATATATATATATATATATATATATATATATATATATATCAGACGTTAAAATCTGTTTTTTTTTTCTTACCTAAATTGCTAAAGCTATACCACCCCTCCTTCTCCCCAAAAAGCATACGTACGTCTCTTATGTCTTTACTTCCCCGCTTTCCCCCTTTTTTCTCTTTTTCTTTTACCCTATCATTTCCGTTGAGTTGACCGGTTAAATAGACCAATGTTTGATCCTTACCCCTCCTTCCTCAATATTAAGTATTCCCTCTCTAAACTCGACCTTGTCTCTCACACTATTACTCACCACTTTCTATGTCAAATTATATAAGCTTCATACTGCCCGTCAAAAGTGTAAATTTTAAATTCATTTTTCGTTTCACCTTTTGAAAGTGAAGTCTGCAGATCCAGAGAAAAATAAAATTCTCTGGTGAAATAAATTATATACAAATGAAGCCTTAAAGTGATCTGTTTTTCTTTAAATTATATATATATATATATATATATATATATATGTCAGTGTGTGTGTGTGTGCGCGCGTGTGTGTGTGTGTGCGTGTGCGTGTGTGTGTGCAGACTCAGCTATAATTATATGGGCATTTTGGAAGAGCGGACTATATCAGGTAGGTGTTATATTTCTAATTAGATTATCAACCAGTTCCAAACAAGCCACTCTGGCAAATGTACATATTCCGGACAGAAACGAATAGAATTTAAAACGCCTGTCGACCCGACCCCCAGTCCTTACCCACATTGCATTTCTTCCTCTTCCCATCAAAAATTAAAAAAAAGGAAGAAGGAAAAGCCATGCGAAACCTACGAGGCTGCAGTCGTTAATTTGCGCAAACTTCGGCATATCGCTACCCGCCTCCCCGAACGCCCCACCCCTCATAAAATCCACCAATTTCCCCGCATTTGTCATTTATATTCTTTTGATGTTTCTTTTTTTTTTTGCACGGGTGGGGGTTGATGTTGTTTTACATTTCAATATATTTTCTTTCAAATAAAATATTTATCTCTATCTAGAATATTGACTAGTTTGGTATAAGGTCACCGTAATTGTGCTCTTAGAGAGAACGAAATTCACTATTAATTGGCTAGTATTCTAAGTAGATATATATATTTCTAAGATTAGACTTTTCCGGAACAAGGCCACAATAGTTGGCACTCAGTGAGTATCAAAATCATTATAATTTCTGTGTCTGCTACCAACACCGTGTCATCTATATAGCTTATGTTTTTAAGATTGTGGCCTTCAATAATAAATCCTGGTAGGACTTCTAGTTCTCGACTCACCGTAGAGGTTGAATAAGTCCGGTGGCACTCAGTGGGAATCAAAATCATTAGTAAATAGTCAGTACTCATCTCGCGCAAGATTCTAACTCTCATTCATTCAATCACCCAAGGAGTATCGAGCCCGATCAATACTTCGATGTAGGACCACTTGGGAGCACTGGGTGCTGTTAGAGATCTCCTACAATAAGTGATGTGTTTCGGGTTTATATAACCCACAAAGTGTTGATGAGCCTTAAATAATGATTTCTCACTGCTGAGCAGGCCCACAAGAGAATGTCTATCTATGCATTCGCAGTAATGTTCCTATAGATTTTTTGTCCAGTTACACCAATGCATACAATATTAAAATTCAACTTTAGTGTCACTAATTAACACTTGAATACTACATGAATAAGCTGAACTATAAACAGATAACCACTTCGCACACACACACACACACACACACACACACACACACACACACACACACACACACACACACACAATGGCCATAATAATAATTCTGAAGCACACACACACAAACTATATCAATGAAAATTACAGAAACTAAACAAACAAAAAAATAAAAAGACCCCCCCCAAAAAAAACAAAAACAAAACAAAACAAAACAACAAAACAAAACAAAAAACAAACATATTATGAAATGGACTAAGTCCGACAATTACTTCAATATATCAGGTCATCCCATAAGTTTTGTCCGAATTTTGAATAAAGAAAACAAGTGACCAAATGTTACATTTAATTACAGATTCAATCAACAATGTATTTTCCCTGATTATCTATGACTTCCTTCCATCTATTAACAAGCTTACTAATTCCATTACTGTAAAATTCTTTTCGCTTTGATTCGAAGAACTCACAAATGTCAGTTTTAACCTCTTCCTGTGTTACAAAAGCTGTTTCTTCCAAATGATTCTGTAAGCTACGAAACAAATGGTAGTCTGAAGGAGCAAGATCGGGAGAATAAGGTGAATGAGGAATTTTCTCCCAACCAAGTTCTTCGATCTTTTGTGACGTGATTTTTGCTGTGTGGTGTCGCGCAATGTCCTGATGAAACATCACCTCTTTTCGATTCACAAGAGCAGGTCTTTTTTACCTCAAAGCTTGGTTCAAACGCTCTAATTGCTGACAGTATATTGGAGCATTAATTGTTGCATTAGGTGGTAAGAATTCAAAGTGATTATTCCTTGGCGATCCCACCAGATTGAAAGAATCTTTTGCCCATGAAGTTCCCTTCTCGGCTGTGGCTGGGGTCTTTCCCCTTTACCAAGCCACTGTCTACGACGCTTAACATTTCGATAAAAGATCCATTTTTCGTCGCCAGTCACAAGTCTATCCAAATAAGTTGAAACAAGTAGGCGAGAATGGAGAGAAGAGTAGATGTCAACTCGGGATTTGAGGTTGTTTTCAGACAATTCATGAGGCACCCATTTTCCAAGTTTAGAAACTTTTCCAAGTTGTTGAAGATGACGATGAACAGTTGTATGGTTTGAATTGAGAACCACTGCCAATTCCTCAACTGGAAAATCACTATATATATATAGTGATTTTCCAAGTGTATTTTTTTTCTACGTATCTTAACTTCGAAAACATTTCTAGATCTCCTCAGCAAGAACATTTCCGTTTTGCCTCAACTCGTACATATTTTGTCTAGCCTGAACTCGAATATTATTTAACCTCAACCCATACATTTTCTGTTTTGCCTCAACTCGAACACAGTCCTATTTAGAGCCAACTCGTAAATTTTCTGTTTTGCCTCAACTCGAACACAGTCCAATTTAGAGCCAACTCGTAAATTTTCTGTTTTGCCTCAACTCGAACACAGTCCTATTTAGAACCAACTCGTACATTTTCTGCTTTGCTTCAACTCGAACACAGTCCTAGTTCTATTTAGAACCAACTCATACATTTTCTGTTTTGCCTCAACTCGCACATATTTTACTTAGCCTGAACTCGAATATTATTTAGCCTTAACTTGAACATTTTTCTGTTTGGCGTCAACTCGATTATGTTTTACCCCAGCTTGAGCATTTTCTAATTGTCTCAAGTTGAACATCATCCTACTTACACTCACCTCGAACATTTTGCCTCAAGTGTTACATTTTTCAATTTTGCCTCAAATCGAACACCATCCTATTTAGATATCTCTCGAATATTTGCTTCTATTCGAGTATTTTTCTATTTTACCTTAAATTGTTCATTTTATTGTTTCGACTCAACCTGAAAATAATTCTATTTGGCCTCAACTCAGACATTTTCCCATCAGCCTTATCAAATCAGTAAACGAATTTTCCCTTTGCTTTACCTGACCGCATAAAATCTTTCAATTAATGAACGCATGTTTTTTTTTTTAGCAATATTAGAGAAAATAATTTCGCCTCTGCTACTAAAATTAATTCCATGTGTGGTGCCAGAAAATATTTTTAAGCAGAGTCTCTCTTCCACGTTTATAAATCTACCATTTGTCTATCCATCCTGGGTATAACGATAAATTACATCCGCGTTCTGGGTAAGGCGATACACTACATCCGTGTTCTGGGTAAGACGGTAAACAACATTTAATGGCAAGGACTCTGATCAGGAGGTTTTGAGGAATGTGGATCCATCTCTTAATTGCTGGTGTTCCCAGGTCCACCCTGACCTGGGGTGGTAGTAACCGTTAGGGTCCCAGCTATGGGCAAATAGTTAACCCTCCAAACTGGGGTCAAAACACAATGAAAGTGTGAAAAATAGGTTTTAATGCCAGCAATGTAGTTGTCTCTCGCCAGAAGCCCTTTTTACAAATGTGTTAATGAAACTTGATTTACAAAGTGATTTTGTTATAAAGAATACTTTTTTTCATATATATATATATATATATATATATATATATATATATATATATATATATATATATGCACATTTCATTGAATACGACAGACAAGGTGCTTTTATTTAATTTTTTATACAAATTCTCATGCGATCTAATGAATTTTTGTTTTTTTTTGTTTTTATTAATATATATGAATATTTAAATGAGATCTAATTGAGCTGTGGTCAGAAAGGTGTAGAGTGAGTCTGCCTGTCATTTAAATATTCCTGGAGACCTACCGGACACTATTCGTAACATACGTTTTGACAACGCAAATATAATAGCATCATCTATATGCACAAAAGGCTAAAAATAATGGAAACCTTATTAATAAAAATGAAAAATAAACAACACTTAATAATATTAACTTTGAACATGGACACAATATATTGACCGTGTTTTGAAAAATGTAAACATTTTATAAAACATATATACAACAAACTATTTCTTATTTAACAGTTAAAATATTTAATTCTTGAAAATGGCTAAATGTATAGCCGAAAGCGCAGGGATAAAAAGAATATTCGGACAGTTTTTATATAATTTATTATCCGAAAAGAAAAAAAAATGATTAGATCGCATGAGAAATTGTCAAAAAAACTAAATAAAAGCATCTTGTCTGCCGTATGCAATGAAATGTGCATGAAAGAAAGATTGCTGCCTAAATACACACACACACACACACACACACAAACACACATACACACACACACACACACACACACACACATATATATATATATGAAAATTGATGGCATTAATTAATCACTTGAGTTTGATATACCATAACACAAAAGAAACCCAACAATTTGTCTATGAATTGAATATTGCTGCCACACCGGGTCTAGTGCTTCTGCTATATATTTAGAGATTCTTGACAAAATCCAAAGAAGAATCTGCAATGCTATAAGTCCTGAGCTAGCATCTCGGCTTCATTCACTTTTCCACTGTCATTACATAGCTTCCCTTTGCCTTTTTTTTTTATATAGATATAGAATTTCATGGCAATTTTTCTGTTGATCTTTCCAATTTGATATACAGAACTCATAAATTTAACCGCAGTACTAGATTAGCAAGTAGGTCCCATCATTTAACTTTTGAAATAAGTAGTAACCGTAGGTTTGATTCTGAGAGTTTCCTTTCTTTTACTTTTCACCTGTGAAGCTCTCTTCCAGCTTCTTGCTTTCCTGTCAGCTACAAACTTCAAAAATTTAAATGCAACATCAACCACCATGTTCTAGATTTGTGGATACTGTTCTTTTATTGTCCTTTCCCCTCACTCATTTTCTTTCAATCTCAGCAACCCCTTGAGACTTAGTGGCATTATCGCTTTGCTTTGGGGCGTGGGGGTGGTAGTGAAATGATTAAAAAAAGCACGTTGGATCAAAACTGTTCTTTTAAAATGATTAAATCGTTCTGGGTAAGACGATAAACTACGTCCAGCAGCAAGGCCTCTGATCAGGAGATCTTGAGGAGTGTGGAACCACTTCTTAATTACTGGTGTTCCCAGGTCCACCCTGACCCGGGGTGGTAGTACCTGTCAGAGTCCCACCTATGGGTAAATAGTTAACCAGAAAACTTGGGTTAAAACACTATGAAAGTGTAAAAATTGGTTTTAATACCAGAAATACATTTCTTAAGAAAAAATTATTACCAGTAATAGATTATTGAAGAAAATAAATATTACCAGCAGAACATTTTTGAGGGAAAAATTGTTACCAGCAATAGATTTTTGAGGGAAAAAATATTACCAGCAGTATATTTTTGAGGGGAAAATATTACCAGCAGTAGATTTTTGAGAGAAAAAATATTACCAGCAGTAAATTTTTGAGAGAAAAAATATTACCAGCAGTAGATTTTTGAGAGAAAAAATATTACCAGCAGTAGATTTTTGAGAGAAAAAATATTACCAGCAGTAGACTTTTGAGGGAAAAAATATTACCAGCAGTAGACTTTTGAGAGAAAAAATATTACCAGCAGTAGACTTTTGAGGGAAAAAATATTACCAGCAGTAGATTTTTGAGGGAAAAATATTAATAGCAGTAGATTTTTGAGAGAAAAAATATTACCAGCAGTAGACTTTTGAGGGAAAAATATTACCAGCAGTAGATTTTTGAGGGAAAAATATTAATAGCAGTAGATTTTTGAGAGAAAAAATGTTACCAGCAGTAGATTTTTGAGAGAAAAAATATTACCAGCAGTAGATTTTTGAGAGAAAAAATATTACCAGCAGTAGATTTTTGAGGGAAAAATATTAACAGCAGTAGATTTTTGAGGTAAAACATTTTACCAGCAATAGATTTTTGAAGGGATAAATGTTAACAGCAATAGATTTTTGAAGGAATAAATGTCAACAGCAATAGATTTTTGATGGAGAAAATGTTACCAGCAATAGACTTTTGAGTGAAAAAATGCTACCAGCAGTAGATTTTAGAGGGAATAATATTAACATCAGTAGACTTTTGAGGAAAAATATTACCAGCAATAGATTTTTGAGGAAAAAATGTTATCAGCAATAAAAATCTTGTTTGCATTAAATAACACATTGACGTTGATATGCCGTAAAACAAAACAAACCAATCCAAATTGATTAAAAGATATATTCTTCGTGGTTTCGTCAAGCAAATCCATGATTCAAATTCTCTGATGCCTCAACACTGATAAATCGTTTTTTTAGTTCCGTCCGACATAAGGATGTTAAACCAGCATGAATAGTCGAAAACCAATGCGCTATCACGATTGTCAGCGTAGTGGAAAAGTCAGTTAGAATCGAACTCATTTCATGTAGCAATGATTTTGAAGAGAAGCGTGCTAAGTTGAGCTTTTAGTCAAGCGTGTTTTCCACGGCAAAAGCAATTAGTTTAAAGGTCGTTCCGTTGTTAAAAAAAAACCCTTTTCAGGAAATGTTACAGAAGTTGAACAAAATGAAAGAAGAAAAAGAGGGGCTAATGGAATTGAAAAATGAAAAGAAAAGAAGGAAGAATGTGAAGGAAAAACAAGGAATTGTGAGAAGGAAACTGGAGAGAGAGAAAAACGCGAAGAAATTGTAATGGTTGCCGAGGAGACCAATATATGCGTTCCTAGGTTTAGAGACTTTCTTGCTTGGGAGTAACATAGTAGCAGTCGTAATGGGGTTAAAACCATGCGAATAAAAATGTTCCGCCGTAAAAATATAAAAATAGACATTTATCACACACACACACACACACACACACACACACACACACACACACACACACACACATATATATATATATATATTTATAGAGATAGAAAGAGAGAGAGAGAGAGAGATAAAGAGAGAGAGAGAGATAATATTAGTCACTATATCTATATCTATCTATCTATCTATCTACCTATCTATATATATATTTCCAAGAGGATAAAATCCATGTAGAGCTCTATGTATAAGACAGAGTAAGAATATAATATAAAAGGCTCAAACAATAATATTCCATGGTTATAATTTATTACATTGTAATCGTAACGTTACACTCTCTCTAAAGCTATCATATATTTCTCTCTCACTCTTGTTTCTCATTCCTATATATACACTTTGAATTTTTTTAAAACCCGGATATATATATATATATATATATATATATATATATATATATATATATATATATATTATATTTTTTTTTTTTAAAATATGATTCCTTCGCGAAGGAATCATATTTATAAACAAAAAAAAAAACATTATAATATAAGCTCTACACTGTCTTCTTAAAAATAAAAACAAAAATACTAAGGAACCCCGGATTATGCACCCAACGTGTTCTTTTCTATTTTCTGCATACCTACGCACTTATATCCGGGTTTAGTCTATTATATATACATTAACACAGGCTCTAATTTGGGACCAGAGAAAATCTCTTATATCCAGGTTTCTCTTATATCCAGGTTATATATATATATATATATATATATATATATATATATATATATATATATATATATATATATATATATATATATATATATATATATATATAAGTCCGACAATTATTTTAATATATTTATTGTTTATACCTTATTTTTTATAGATACAAATATTTAAGTAAATGCTCTGTTTATAGTAAACAGTATTAACATTTACCAGCCTATGTCTGAGAAATTAATTAAAAAATATGTCAGGTTATATGACGGTTCCGTATAGGATGCAGGTTCGATCTCTGTCTGAGGACACATTTTTTTCTATGAAATTTCTTGGACATTTAGGGCGGTAAATGTTGTTAATACTGTTTATTATAAACAGAGCATTTACTTAAATATCTGTGCCTATAAAAATAACATATAAGCAATAAATATATTAATATCTATCCCCCCTCTCTCTCCTTCTCTCTCTCTCTCTCTATATATATATATATATATATATATATTACTACTTTCCCAAGCCAACATACACGACCACAAATATGTTGAAAAATCAAAACACCATGGCTAAATCCATCACCTCATGTTTTTGAAGATGTACACCACATCCATACATGTCACACTATAACAATCTGATCACAATCCAAACTGATATGTCCAGGAAAGGGATATATTTGAACGAAGTAGCTAAGTGTTTTTGGCTACTATAACCAAGTAGAATACGGTAACAGTAATCGACTGGTACGCGTCGTAGTCGCAGGTAAGAAGTGTAGATCAATGGCATAGTCCAGTGGGCGTCGTTATAGACTTAGCTCTCAGATTAAGGCTCTTTGACTCTGTCGTACCTACACGTCCGTCGGTATTTATGATGGACACCAGCCAATCATATTCCAGTGAGGGGGAACACAGGTGTATGCATATTCCATTATATCACAAAAAATATTTATTAAAAAAAAAACATTTCTTGAATATTACTCGCTTACTTGTTGCTAGAAATTGTGTCCCCCATATACTTTGGCTCACCTTTCAACCAAATGATGAACATATATGAACGTTCTCAAATTTAAAAGCCTTGATAAACCAATGCCATCCCTGCATTTGTATGTAAACATGGGCATCAAAATAAATTTGATAAAGTCAACCCGAGAACGAAACGCGTCGGCTATGTATAATTTTTCCTAAGTATAAGTTTTTACACGGATATATATATATATATATATATATATATATATATATATATATATATATAGGTGTGTCTGTGTGTGTTTCATTGTAATTTCTGTGAGAATGCTACCACGTGACCCCTTAGGTGTAAGGGGACTACAATGTGTTCTTTAGCTGTTGCTGGTCGAACACGGTAAATATCTTCTACTACTAAGTCTGATATTTTCCTCTGATCGATAGATAGATAGATAGATGGATAGATAGATAGATAGATACGAAAAGGAACGGGATAGATAGATAGATAGATAGATAGATAGATAGATAGATAGATATACAGACAGACAGACAGATGTGATCAGACTGATATAGATACACAGAGAGAGAGAGAGTGAAAGTGTGGGGTAGGGAGAGAGAGAGAGAGAGAGAAAGTAAGTGTGGGTTAGGGGAGAGAGAGAAAGAAAGAACAGATAATCAAATTGAGATAAATACATAGCTAGATATATAACAATAGACCGAGATAGAAACAGAAAGAGATAGATATGAGTAGACTGAGATAGATAGATAGATAGATAGATAGATAGATAGATATGAGTAGACTTAGATAGATAGATAGATAGATAGATAGATATATAGATATGAGTAGTCTGAGATAGATAGATAGATAGATATGAACAGACTGAGATAGATAGATAGATAGATAGATAGATAGATATGAACAGACTGAGATAGATAGATAGATAGGTAGATAGATATGAGTAGACTGAGATAGATAGATAGATAGATAGATAGATAGATATAAGTAGTCTGAGATAGATATATATGAACAGACTGAGATAGATAGATAGATAGATAGATAGATAGATATGAGTAGACTGAGATAGATAGATATGAACAGACTGAGATAGATTGATAGATAGATAGATATGAGTAGACTGAGATAGATAGATAGATAGATAGATAGATAGATAGATAGATAGATAGATAGATAATAAGAACAGACTGTGATAGATAGATAGATATGAATAGGATGAGATAGATAGATATGAACAGACTTAGATAGATAGATAGATAGATAGATAGATAGATAGATAGATAGATAGATATGAGCAGACTGAGATACATAGAAACATTGAGGCAGACAAATAGAAAGATTGATAGATAGAAAGAAAGAAAGAAAGAAAAAAGAAAGAAAGATGGGCAGACTGAGATAGATGAATCGTAGTGTTATACAACAGACCGAGATAGATAGATAGATAGATAGATAGATAGATAGATAGATAGATAGATAGATAGATGTACCCGAGCTGAGATCGATAGGAACGAGCAGTCACAAATCAAAGGCTATGAATAGATCTATGACAGATCGATAAAAAGAGCAAGTTAAGGAGAAAGTAAATAATTTCGCGGGCGAGTATTTATGCGTAAAAACAAATTTGTGGTTGAAAAAAAAAATCGAATATTTCAAAACTCGTACAGTAATCGAAGCAATCGATGTTTTCTTTCCATGTTTTTTTTCTGACGTCGTTTACCTTGAAAAAAAAAAAAAACCCAAAACCCGAATACCCTGACGACAGCCGCCTTCCTTTCTGGCAGCGAGCGATTTCAACCAATCACTTAGTAGGTGTCTTCCCTAACCCACAATAAATAAATAAAAAAGTAAATAAATAAATAGCACGCATGCTCTCTAGCGTTTATATCGTTTCCCTAGATGCATACAAGACGTCGACACTTATCACTACTTCAGTTACTTGCAGAAAGGAATGTCATCTCCTGATTGTGAAGTCAATGAGTAACGGGGCATATGATTGCAGTTGGACGCCATTTTGATGTATTTTGTCCTGTCATGTGGCGCCGACTATTAGGGCAGTTGACGGACGTCATGTTTTTCAAAAATGCAGTCTTGAATTTTCCTTGAGGTTTACTGGCTCCACCCCCATTTCTACATGCATTTATTTTTTCATCGCCTCCGTTCATCTGTCTTTTGGCGGTTATCACGTGACTATGAGCGACAGCCATGTTTTTCCTAATGTCTAGTACCTCAGATTACTCAATTCTTATCATATTTTATGCGCCTATATATGCAGATATCTCATGCTTATCCCTGTAGATTGCGTGGAAACAATTCACAGTAAATTTCCAGGACCTTCCACAGTATCTTCTTATCATTATTGTTTCTTTGGAGTTATTGTTATTACTATTGTAATTATTATCTGACGCATTACCATTTTCAAATCAGCTTTCTGATGGTTATCGTTGGGAAATGAGTGACAGCCATTTTCTTCAAATCTCCATCTCCCCCCTTAGTATCCCTTATCATAATTATATTTAATCTATTTGCACGTTTTCATTAGATATTTGGTGATCATCTTTGGAGATTGAATGACAATAACTGTCTGTAATTTTCCAGCACCTTCCTCGGTATCTTCTTCTTATTGTTTCCTTGGACTTCTGTTGTATACCCGCTTCCTTCCGGGTCCCAACTAGAGATCTAAGATCAGCAATGGCTTTGTAACATTGTTCACTGTTCATTTTTGTAAAATAAAATAAAAAAAAAAGCACTATGATCATACGCATTTTACACAGAAAAAGCTCTTCGTAATGTGTGACTTGTACTTGTGAATATATTATTTTGTATTTCATTAAGGCTTGGACTTCCAGCAATCTCTTCAATGAGTCGGTTGGAATTTTTTCCAATCAATCCGAGTGCTCCAACTACAACTGGAATTACTGATGTCCGCATGTGTCACATTCTTGAGATTTCCACTTCAATTATTATTATTATTATTATTTCCTTTGATTTCTGGCGTTTACACATTTCTTTCAGGGTCCCGCCCAGAGACCTAAGGTTAGAAATGGCACCATGATATTTCCATTGACCAATTAAAAAAGAAAAAAGAAAAAAAATCACACATATTTTACATAGACAAAGCCCTTCGTAAGGTGTGGGCTGTACTCGTGAGAACATTTTTTTTGTATTTTTGTAAGGTATAGACTTCCAGGAATCCCTTCAATTAGTCTACAGTTTTTCCAACATATCCGAGGGCTCCAACTACAACTGGAATTGTTAATAAATGCGCCACATTTTTGAGGTATCGATTTCAAGGTCCTTGTATTTTGATAACTTTTTGAAGATCTTCAAAGATACATTGCAGTCTGCAGGGACTGCCATACCAATAAGGAGGCATTTTTTAAAAGTCTTTTGTTGTTTTTCTTTGATTTCTGATGTATACTCCGGGTCCCGACCAAAGACCTAAGGTCAGAAATGGCATCATGGCATTTTCTACTGAGGATTATTGAAAAAAAAAAACAAAGAACAAAAAAAAAAAGTTTAAAACTCTTCGTAAGATGTGGGCTGTACTTGTCAGAACATTTTTTTTGTATTTCTTTAAGGTTTGGGCTTCCAGGAATCCCTTCAATGAGTATGTTGGAATCTTTTCCAATCAATCCGAGTGCGCCAACTACAAGTGGAATTACTGATGTCCGCATGTGCCACATTCTTCAGATTTTCAAATTATTATTATTATTATTGTTTTTGTTGTTTTTCCTTTGACTTCTGGTGTGTACACATTTCTTTCCGGGCATCTAGGAACACTTCAATTAGTCTACAGATTTTCCAACTAATCCGAGGGCTCCAACTACGACAGGTATTGTTGATGTTCCCATGTATCACATTTTTGAGATTTCGATTTCAAGGCCCTTGTATTTTGATAGCTTTTTATAGATCTTCAAAGATACATTGCAGCCTGCAGCGACTGCCATGTCAATAAGGAGGCATATTTTGCCTTTGCAGTCTCTAATAACAATGTCTAGGCTATTATCTTTGTTCTGTCTGTGTTTACTCATAAAACTGTTACAGGTACTATCTCCGTAACCGGGTCACAGTGGTAATTATTAAAATTGTTAGAAAATTATTATAAAATTATTATAAAAAGATCACACGTATTTTACATAGATAAAGCCCTTCGTAAAGTGTGGGCTGTACTTGTAGGCACATTTTTTTTTGTATTTTATATTGGCATAAACTAGCAGGGATTTCTTCAATGAATCTTTTCGAATCTTTTCTAATCAATCCGAGGGCTCCAACTACAATTGGAATTGTTGATGTCCTCATGTGGCACATTTTTGAGATTTCGATTTCAAGGTCCTTGTATTTTGATAGCTTTTGGAAGAACTTCAAATACAGTCTTCAGGGACTGCCTTGTCAATAAGCAGGGGACATGTCTTTGCGATCGCTAATCATGCTGTCAGGGCGATTAGATTTGATTGTCGTGTCTGTGTGTATTGTAAAATCCCATAAAATTGTTACAGGTCTTATTTCCATAACCGGGTCTGGATGGTGTTCATATCAGTTTCCTTCCCGTAGAAGTTGCAGATTTTCCAGTGCAGATATTGGCCACTCTGTCATGCTGGGTTTTATATTCAGTGGGTGCCAATACAGTTCAACCTGGTACAAGATAATCAATTGTTTCTGGATATTTATCACAGAATCTACATTTTGGGGTAACACAATATTTTAATATATGTGCTTGATAATTTCTAGTTAACAAGAATTGGTCCTGCGCATTGGCCGGTTTCAGCTTTTAACCCTGCACTACGTAGCCACTGATGGGTACAGGGTTTGTCTACATCAGCGTGTTTTTTGTTTCTTTTTGAAGTATTTTGCAGATGCAGTCAGTGTATTGTGCTTTACTTGTATTTCTTCACCCATTTGAAACTCCATTTTGAACTCGTTGGCTTCCTTTATTGCTGAATAAAGTTTCTTACTTCTTTTGATGTTCTTTGACACAGATCATCATCAAGTCTTCTGTAGTTTACAGTTATCTTTCAAGGCCAATGGCTGTAGTTTTGTAAGACAGTTCTAGTTGAACTAATCCTCTGCCTCCTTCGGATCTGGGCACATATAGACGATCAACATCAGCTTTGTGTAAATAAATGTGGTAGCAAGTAAGAAGCTTTCTCGTTTTGGCGCGAAAGCTTCTCAATTATTATTATTATTCCATTTCTTCTATTTGCATATTTTTACAAGATGCCTTGCGGTTATAATTTGGGATTGAGTGATAGCAAGCTTCATCAAACCCCCAGCACCTTCGTCAGTAACCTTTATTATTATCATCATCATATTCCATGTATTTGCATCTTCTAACTTTGGTCTCTTGTGATTATATTTGGAAATTTAGTAACCACATATCTCCAGCACAGTGTTTTCGTTAAAAGCCCGCAATGCAGAAACTTAGACTGTTTCGGTTCGTCCTTGAAATTCAAATTTATCTGATTCGGTCACTGATATTTTAACATGGTTCCACAAAAACTAAAACAGGATAAAAAAGAAAGAAAAACAACCAAGATAGAGGAAAGGGGGGGGGCGGAAAAGGCGGTTACGATTAATATGGATTGAATACAAAAAGGAAGAGATGAAGATAAAAAAATTCTAAGAGTTGAAGAAAAAAGCGAAAAATGAGAGAGGAAGAGGCGGACAAAGAGAAAGGAAGAGGAAGGAAGACTCAGAAGGAGAGCAAGGAAGAGGTGGATAGTATGAAAAGAGAGGAAGGAGGAGTTAGAAGGGATAGGGGGATGGAGTGAAAAGAGAGGAAGGTAGAGTCAGAAGAGAGAGGTGGATGGAGTGAAAAGAGAGGAAAGTAGAGTCAGAAGCGAGAGGTGGATGGAGTGAAAAGAGAGGAAGGTAGAGTCAGAAGCGAGAGGTGGTGGAGTGAAAAGAGAGGAAGGTAGATTCAGAAGCGAGAGGTGGATGGAGTGAAAAGAGAGGAAGGCAGAGTCAGAAGAGAGTGGTGGATGGAGTGAAAAGAGAGGAAGGTAGAGTCAGAAGCGAGAGGTGGATGGAGTGAAGAGAGAGGAAGGAAGAGTCAGAAGAGAGAGGTGGATGGAGGAAGAGAGAGGAAGGAAGGAAGAGAGGTGGATGGAGAAAGAGAGAAAGAGAGTCAGAAGGATGGAGGAAAAGAGGAAGGTAGAGTCAGAAGAGAGAGTGGATGGAAAGAGAGGAAGGTAGAGTCAGAAGCGAGAGGTGGATGGAGGAAAAGAGAAGAAGGCAGAGTCAGAAGAGAGAGGGATGGATGGAAGGTGGAAGCGAGAGGTGGAAGGAAAAGAGAGGAAGGTAGAGAGAGGGTGGATGGAGTGAAAAGAGAGGAAGGCAGAGTCAGAAGAGAGAGGTGGATGGAGTGAAGAAAAGAGAGGAAGGTAGATGGAGAAGGAGAGGTGGATGGATGGAGAAAAGAGAAAAGAGAAGAGAGGAAGGAAAAGAGAGGAGGTAGAGTCAGAAGAGAGGTGGATGGAGGAAGAGAGAGGAAGGAAGATTCAGAAGAGAGAGGTGGATGGAGGAAAAGAGAGGAAGGTAGAGTCAGAAGAGAGAGGTGGATGGAGGAAAAGAGAGGAAGGTGTAGAAGAGAGGGTGGATGGAGGAAAAGAGAGGAAGGTAGAGTCAGAAGAGAGAGGTGGATGGAGGAAAAGAAAGGAAGGTAGATTCAGAAGGAGAGGTGGATGGAGGAAAAGAGGGGAAGGTAGAGTCAGAAGAGAGGGTGGATGGAGGAAAAGAGAGGAAGGTAGAGTCAGAAGCGAGAGGTGGATGGAGTGAAGAGAGAGGAAGGAAGAGTCAGAAGAGAGAGGTGGATGGAGTGAAGAGAGAGGAAGGAAGAGTCAGAAGAGAGAGGTGGATGGAGTGAAAAGAGAGGAATGTAGAGTCAGAAGAGAGAGGTGGATGGAGTGAAAAGTGAGGAAGGTAGAGTCAGAAGCGAGAGGTGGATGGAGTGAAAAGAAAGGAAGGTAGATTCAGAAGCGAGAGGTGGATGGAGTGAAAAGAGAGGAAGGTAT